CTAATTTAACTAATTAATGAAATACTTTTAATATCAGAAAATAAATAGAAAAAAAAAGAAAAAACGCTTGTGGTTCTGATTTTTTGGTCCCAAGTAGGTATTATACATTAAAAGGTTATCTGGAAAATGTTCACACTTCAGACAATATAAAACTTTCAACTTATCTTTCTTTGTTCTCGAAAAGGTACCACAATTGAGCATTGTTAAATTAAACTTGTAAAAAGTAGCTTTATATTCAAATAAATAAGGTTTATTACATACTTTATTAATTTACTGTGCCGACCTGACTGTTTATTGTTACCGTTGAATGCCAAAGAACGTATTTACACAGACGTATAATATTTGGAGAAGACAATCAGTTCAGTACTGAACAATGCGTGACCATAAACATTTTTTTTATTTTTATTTTAAAGGATTCAAGGACCTAATTTTTTAATGTGATGGCGTGCTTAATGCCATGGACATTCTCTTCCAGCCATCCAAACCTTTGGGTGATACAGAGGCAAAAAGAATGGTCGATGCAAGAAGGAAACGCATTCTAAATCTATGACCTAGAGAAATATGTGAAAATGAATTGTATAGACATATATATAAATCCCTTTATAAACTTATATGACGCAACAATAGACTTACATAATTATATAACACATTTTTATTATCTGTTAAAAAAATTGTCGAAATAAGCTATTTTCAATAAATAGCCGCAATACTTGAAATAATAAAATTACCTACCCACTTAATCTCAGCTATTTCCAGTACAGTTTAAGTAAAGAGAAGGGACAAATAAATATCATTATCGCGACTGTTACGACCACTGGGATAGCGTTCAAGAAATTATGTTTCTTTTAAATATTGTACCTCTTCCTTCTCTATTTTAATATATTACTGCGTCGTTGTCCGGGAGGCCGCAAGTGCGACTGCTTAACGTGGCAAGGGGTCTCGGGTTCGATTCCCAGGTTGGACAAAGTATTACTGGTATTTTTTCAAAAATCTCAATAGTAGCACTAAGTCTGGAAGTGTACCCGGTATATGGCAATAGGCTCACCCCCGTTACATGGGAAAAGTGGGTGTTACATTGTACAGTGGCATTAAATGCCGTGATGTGCCTCTGCCTTCCCCTTCGGGGATAATAGACATGATGTTATGTTTAATTAATGTAAAATATTTTTGTGATACAATAAGATAAAGTATCTTTAGAATGGTCGTCGGGAAATCCGCTGAGTCGCAGCCGGAAAACGTACCTGTTATTGAGATGTTATACTGTTGATAATGTCAGTACATCATAAATTATTAAGCTAAGCGTTTGCGAATGAGCCAATTCCCACACAGTGGACGCAATCTACTCAGAAAACTCCATCATACTACTGGAGTTCGATACATTTCAATGACACTTTAACCGAGAAACAAAACTGAATATCTTGCTTACCAGTCGTCTTTGTGTTTAACAAATCAACTAACTCTAACTTTAACTAAATACGGGTGTAAACGGAATACTCCCTAAAAATGGCGCCAAGTGATAGTAAAAAACAACTTTTACTTTAATAAAAGTAAGAAATTAAATGTTTTTTTTTTTATGTAATAATAGTTGTAATCAACTGTTCTAGACTGATAGTGAAACAAGTGAATTTATTTCTGCAAATAGGCTACAAGGCAGCACTTTTACACGTCAATTTTATCAAGCGAACGATGAGGTCGACATTTCCTAACTGACTACTCTGAGAAGAAATGCCGAAACAAACTCAGAGGTCTGTCTCTTTTAAAGTCCAGACAATATATATAACAGATTATGTGTGAGAACCGTGCCAGTTCTTTCTGTAGTGGGCTTTTGAGGAAAGAACCACAACAGTTTGAGCGGACCCGTTCTGAAGGCAGTACGCATGTGTCGGTTTACAGTCAGCTCAATTAACAGGTGAGGCTGACTGATTCGACGAACAATACCAACCTAAAGAACATTTGCGTGGGTCGCACACCGTCCGTTATACACTGTAAAAGCGTATACTCTGACATCTAAACGAACCACTTATTTTCTTTAGTCTAGTAGTGGGAACAACATATTTGTCTTTATTTCTCGTGTTTATATTATGTACATTATCACTATGTTTTTTAAATAAACTTTTGTTTTTATGAGCATATACTAAATTTTCATAAATGTATTGAGAAGCAACAGTCATTATATTAATTTCTTTAAATAGTTCCCTGAGAGAGTACCTCGGACTAAGATTATAAATTAATGTTGCATGAATAACACGAAAACAAAACAATTAAATAGGGTAGGTCTGGTAGATTATTTTAACTTGGTGTTTGACAGTTTAAATCATTACACGCGTATTTTTTATTTTCTTACGGAAACGAATAGTTACGACGAAATATTGATTTGAAATGTCGCCTGACATCAATTCTATGTACATTTTATTCGTAGAAATGACGTTTTAGCCCCCACTCCTAAACTTTGATTCGTTTTATCTAAGTATTGTTTTATTATACGATAAAATAAAAAAATACGTGTCCAATATTTTTTAAACACCTAACTTACGAACTTATTAGATTTTTAATTTTATTGTAACATTGTAATTTTGTCAGCGTTTCAGAACCGTCTTGTTTACACCCTGTATATCACAAAAGCTTCGTAATACCACAACTATTACACCTAAGATCGCAGCAATTGACACGCACCCCACTGAACACCACGGATATACATAAATAGACAAGATAATATATTGTATTCATAGTTATAAGCCTCCATTTAGCGACTCTTATCTCAATTTCAGTGAATTTGTCACTTAATGTTAATCTATTGTCCGTGAATAGTTTGTGGTTAATCTGTAGCATTACAGTTTTGGGTACGGTACGTGAAATATTGCTGGTATATGTGAAGATACCGGCCGCTTAGACAAATGGCACAAACGCTAGTCGAATTGAGTCGGGCCTTCAAAAGAGATTGTAAGTTTTAGGAGTCTGTTTCGGTATTTCTTTTCAGAGTAAGAAATAGCTGATTAATTTAACTCACCCATTTTAAAAGTATTGATTGGTTATGGTGCTGAACTGGATGTTATGTTAACTGATGGGAAAGGTTAGACTCATACGTTTTTGAGTAACGGCCAGTTCCACGTGTCATCATCATCGTCGTCGTAATCATATCAGCAATAAAACGTCCACTGAACAACAATTTACATTGGGGATCATTGGGGGAGGCCTGTCATGTGATAGGCGGAAATCCTATTGCCAGAAACCGCGCTATTTCAGACTCCACGCCGCTAATTTACGACCGTCTATAATTTCAATAACACAATTTTTTGGTCATTTCCCTGATTCGCGAAACCTCTTTCTCTTATTTGCGAACACTCGACCATGAGAACTGGCTATCTCATACTATGAGATAGATAGCCAGTATTGCAGTATCCGATTTTCGAGCGCTCTTGTTTTGTTCATCGTTTTAAACTTTTAATAAATATACTTTTCATAATTATGCCTAAGTATATCATGTATCATTGTTCATAAGATGACCTTCCGTTCGAAGACCTCATCAGCAGTCGAGTTTATGACCTCTGAAAGTTAGAATCAACAACAAACTTTTTATATTGAATATTTTACATTATTTTGCTCATCGATTCAATCTCAATTCACTTTGTATTACTCATGTCATAATTAGTTTGATTATCATAAGGACGACTATATATTGGTGAAATTCTTTTAAATTCCCCTATACCTACTTAATTTTTATAGCCCGAGAGAAACTGAAGAGAGGGACGCCTAGATTTTTTTTTTAAGTTGGGAAAATCATCGAATGACTGCTCCCGCCTTAGTGTCAGACTCTTACTGACTAAAAACCACCCCGTTCCTTCTCCTGCACGTCGAGCCAGAGCCTCGGTTACCCGTTAGGTTCTCCGCGACAAAATATATAGATAGGTACATTCGGTAGATGTTAACAAAGAGTTTAACGTTGTCGTCCAGTTATGTAATAGGAGGTACCGTAAAATGGGGTGAATAGGGATCGAGAGGTGAATAGAGACAGAAGAGGGGTGAATAGATAAGTATAAGGAAATTCTTCATAGTATCGATTCACTCCTCTTCTGTCCCTTTTCGCCATTTAAACCCTATTCACCCCATTTTTCGGCAATTAATATGTACCTACTTAATAGATAGAACCCGCTTAGTAAATCCCTAAGAATTTCAAAAACAATAAAACAATTCATATACATGTGATAGCTTTGAATGGCAGTTACCCTTGAGAACACGTGACTTAAGATATAAATCGTAGGTAGGTACTTACCTAATACTCACGTCTCTAATATGGAGCAGTTAGAGAAAACAATATACTTCATTTCGGGATTGGCACTTTCGCTTTATTGTATTTTAGTTCCGTTCTTCATCTAAGGCTAGGTACTTGACGATACTGTCTGTCCTTATTATGCTTTTTATTCATTGTGTGGCATAATTTATCAAAATGTTATTTAGGTACGTGCTCTTATTCTGTCACAAATTCACTACACAACTACTTACCTCTAGAATAGCCATGCTTGCTTCACGGCTTCACACAAAACCGACGCGAAACAACGCTTGTGTTGTGTTTCGTTGTGTGAGTAAGAATTAAATGATACCTTAAAACTAATAATTTCTTTTCGTTCTCTGTCATAGACATGAGTAAAGTAACTCAACGGATGCAAAAACTTTTAAGACTCGCGCTCTTTTATTGGCGGGAACACCAAACTCCTTGTAACTTATAACTTTTTTTTATATGATTACTAATAATGTTGCCATTTCTTTTAAAAATTAACAAAAATTGCAAAAAGCGAAAAATACTTAATTTTTTTTTTTTTTTTTAAACGTTGCCCCACACTAGGATTACCTCCTGTGCCGTGAGTGCGTTTACAAACATATAAGTTCACATACACATGACACCCAGACCCGAAACAACAATTTGTGGATCGCACAAAGTGTTGTTCCGTGCGGGAATCGAACCCGCGACACGTTGCACGGCAGCCGGTTGCCCAGCCACCGCACCAACCGTGCAGTCA